ACTCAGATTGAGACATCCACTGAAAGGATTGTTGTATTCAATTAAATAACAGTTGAAAAATTAGTTGTCTTAATTTGTTGTCTTGTCGATCAGTTGTTGTAACCTCAGCTGGACCTTTGTCAACACCGTACATTTTTGTCAACTCTGTCATTTTTTTGTCAACTCCATCAGTTTTTAACCCTGTCAGATGAAGGTTGCTGTTAATATTGAAAGAAATATTTTTTTTTTTTGTAAAATAAGGTTATAGAAACAAAAAATTCAGAAAAACCCGTTCCCTTACATGGTTCATTAGCAGAGACTTTTATCTACAAATATATCAGTTTATAATAATGTATTATTAAATAATAAAAAGCTAACATTTTTAAACATGTTTTGTCCCTTGTCTCAATAATCAGTGAATTATATAAATAATAACACATTAAGTGGCAGTATTATTAAATAATAAAAAACTAACATTTTTAAACATGTTAAGTGGCAGACTTGCATACATTTTATCAACATCAACTGCATTCAAGATACACATATTATCAGTTCTTGCTTTCCCTGGTAATCAAACTCATGACCTTGGTGTTAATAACACTATATGCTCTTCTACTGTTTGAGCTGAAATATGTCAGAGTGACATATTTGCTCATTTCTGTGTATGGATGGATGATTTACTGTACATGTCCATGCTATGTGCCAGAACCAGCTGTGTGAGGTTTCTTTTACTTCATCTATCAATCCACAAAAACATGCATTCAGGTAAGGATTCTTCAGTCCTACATTACACACCACTAGAGGATGCTGTTTGGTGGATGATGTTGTCACAGGCAATCGGTTACAGTTTGATGTGGCTTGTTTAGTTGAGACAAACACTGTAAACTGAGTCATTTTATTCTTGAGACATTTATTCATCTTAACACCTTCCAGAATTCAAAATACCAAACAATTCAAGTCAAATATATGCCCACACTAGACCATTAATTCAAAATGGCAAACTCAAAATAAATTAATAAGCACAAATAAATTGGTACCAGATAAATATTCATAAATAAGAAATAACTCTGAGGAACCCTTTCCTATTTCCTGCTCATTGTGGATCTCACAGTTTCAAGTGATTATTATGTTTTGAATATGGATATTTTTATTACAAAAACGCATCGATTCGCTACAGAAGGCCTTTGTTCACCCCCCCGGAGCCGTGTAAGACACTTTTTTTATGGATGGGTGCTTTTTATTTAAGTTCTTTTGGACTGAAGCAATGCAACAACCGCCGAGTACAACGATAGAGCTTGAAAGATCAAAGACAATTTTTAATATAACTCCGACTGGATTCGTCTGAAAGAAGAAAGTCATATACACCTAGGATGCCTCGGAGGTGAGTAAAACGCAGCCTAATGTTCATTTTTGGGTGAACTAACCCTTTAATAGAGAGTGAACATGCCAGTTGCCAACTGCTTTAGCCATGCAAGTCAGGCACAAATAAAATTTCGTAACTGATGGGTTTTTAAGACAGTCTACAGATCCTTTGGATTCATATTAGGAACATTTCTGTTGCTGCTACATGGCAGCACATAATAATGTTTACCATTACACTGAAACTGACATAAGCTTCATGTATTTTCTAAGCTACTGGAGACTCAGATTGAGACATCCACTGAAAGGATTGTTGTATTCAATTAAATAACAGTTGAAAAATTAGTTGTCTTAATTTGTTGTCTTGTCGATCAGTTGTTGTAACCTCAGCTGGACCTTTGTCAACACCGTACATTTTTGTCAACTCTGTCATTTTTTTGTCAACTCCATCAGTTTTTAACCCTGTCAGATGAAGGTTGCTGTTAATATTGAAAGAAATATTTTTTTTTTTTGTAAAATAAGGTTATAGAAACAAAAAATTCAGAAAAACCCGTTCCCTTACATGGTTCATTAGCAGAGACTTTTATCTACAAATATATCAGTTTATAATAATGTATTATTAAATAATAAAAAGCTAACATTTTTAAACATGTTTTGTCCCTTGTCTCAATAATCAGTGAATTATATAAATAATAACACATTAAGTGGCAGTATTATTAAATAATAAAAAACTAACATTTTTAAACATGTTAAGTGGCAGACTTGCATACATTTTATCAACATCAACTGCATTCAAGATACACATATTATCAGTTCTTGCTTTCCCTGGTAATCAAACTCATGACCTTGGTGTTAATAACACTATATGCTCTTCTACTGTTTGAGCTGAAATATGTCAGAGTGACATATTTGCTCATTTCTGTGTATGGATGGATGATTTACTGTACATGTCCATGCTATGTGCCAGAACCAGCTGTGTGAGGTTTCTTTTACTTCATCTATCAATCCACAAAAACATGCATTCAGGTAAGGATTCTTCAGTCCTACATTACACACCACTAGAGGATGCTGTTTGGTGGATGATGTTGTCACAGGCAATCGGTTACAGTTTGATGTGGCTTGTTTAGTTGAGACAAACACTGTAAACTGAGTCATTTTATTCTTGAGACATTTATTCATCTTAACACCTTCCAGAATTCAAAATACCAAACAATTCAAGTCAAATATATGCCCACACTAGACCATTAATTCAAAATGGCAAACTCAAAATAAATTAATAAGCACAAATAAATTGGTACCAGATAAATATTCATAAATAAGAAATATTAAACAACATTACACCATTTTCACATAGTTTGCATTTAAAAGCAATCTCTCTTAAAAGTGTATACCATTTATCAAAACCCAACAGAGAGGATTGTGAAGTGAATCCATTATACTGATACTGATATGGGACATTTGGAGACTGTGGTAAAGATTCAAGTATGTCACACAGAAACAGTTTCAATATGGGCACCACAATCTGAGGATATTTATAAAGCTGGCAAATAGATCTCAAAAAATACTTAAAACAACCAGCAAAGCACAACACAAACTGGCTGGAGCACACGTTAGAATAATAAAAATCTTACTCAAGCATGAATCCAAACAAAGAATCTAATAGCCATTCTTCGCGCAAAAATGAAAATTCTGTCATCATTTACCAAACTGTTAATGGTAGCCATTGACTTCCATAGCATTTATTTCCATACTATGGAAGTCAATGGCTACCGTCAACTGTCTGGTTACCACCATTCTTCAAAATATCTTCTTTTGTGTTCAACAGAATACAGAAACTCATACAGGTTTGGAAAAAGTGGAGGGTGAGTAAATGATGACAGAGTCTTCATTTTTGGGTGAACTGTGCCTTTAAGGGAGGAATTATACTTCACAGTCCATCACAAAACAGTGAGTAAGGCAAAGCTAAATTCATCAAAGAAACATTACGTAATATAAATAATTGAATACAATATCATCCAATATCATATAAACATCTACAAAAATGACATAATTGATAAACTGGATAACAAAACCACAATAAGAACACAAATGTAAGTCAAAATGTTCCCTTTGTCTCTACATGCGTCATCTATGAGTTATGGCATTGTGTGTATGAGGTAATATGGCATTAAGTAATAATGCTGGTTTAATGACATCAACTAACTCTAAAACAATATTTATACTTTAAACAATTTACAAAGACCTTGATGTTTTTAACAGTCTCAAATCAGCATTATAAAACTAGCATAGTGTTATTTTAATTGGGTGCTACTTTGCCTTGGATGTAATTTGTTTCAAAGTAAATAAAAATACTGACGGATAAAACCCACAAATCTTACACTTGCATTGGCGTGTCACTTAGTTACATTCTCAAGATACTGATATGTCTGTCTTCTTTCCAACATTTTATTGAGCGTGTTCTGATTTTCTGAAAAATGTTTTATATAACAGTGCTTTCGGTGTGAACAAGTGTGCCTCACACAACCTGAAAAGTGAAGCCAAAATATTTTGATTGCCATCTGGTGGCTGGCTGCAGTATAGGTCATAAACCCCACCCTCTCCGTGTAAGTGAATGGGACATAAGCCACACTAAAATATCAAATTACACTTCAAATAAATTTCTCCCAGAGATGGTTTCCATCATTTTTGGTAGTTCTTATAACACGTATGTATGTTCAAATGTTCGTTTTTCTAATAAGTTTGCTTTTAGGTAGTTGTTTGATGCTATAAAAACAGGGTGTGGTGTCATGATTGTGATTGGGTCTTTAGGAGTTTGCGTGAGACTTTGATGCCACAGCTCCATCTCACGGACACTACTGAGCAGACTCAGGCTCCAAATGAATCACTACTGCGCAGACTCAGGCTCCAATTGAATCACTACTGAACAGACTCAGGCTCCAATTGAATCACTACTGAACAGACTCAGGCTCCAATTGAATCACTACTGAACAGACTCAGGCTCCAATTGAATCACTACTGAACAGACTCAGGCTCCAATTGAATCACTACTGAACAGACTCAGGCTCCAATTGAATCACTACTGAACAGACTCAGGCTCCAATTGAATCACTACTGAACAGACTCAGGCTCCAATTGAATCACTACTGAACAGACTCAGGCTACAAATGAATCACTACTGAACAGACTCAGGCTCCAATTGAATCACTACTGAACAGACTCAGGCTCCAAATGAATCACAACTGTGCAGGCTCAGGCTCCAAATGAATCACTACTGAACAGACTCAGACTCCAAATGAATCACTACTGAACAGACTCAGGCTCCAAATGAATCACAACTGCACATACTCAGGCTCAGGCTCCAAATGAATCACTACTGAACAGACTCAGGCTCCAAATGAATCACAACTGCACAGACTCAGGCTCCAAATGAATCACTACTGAACAGACTCGGGCTCCAAATTAATCACTACTGAACAGACTCAGTCTCCAAATAAATCACAACTGGGCAGACTCAGGCTCCACATGAATCACAACTGCACAGACTCAGGCTCCAAATGAATCACAACTGCACAGACTCAGGCTCCAAATGAATCACAACAGCACAGACTCAGGCTCCAAATGAATCACAACAGCACAGACTCAGGCTCCAAATGAATCACAACTGCACAGACTCAGGCTCCAAATTAATCACTACTGAACAGATTGGGCTCCAAATGATGTCATCGGCATAAGATGAGGGCGGCCATACTGGGATATTTTGGCTTCACTTTTCTATAGTGGACAGAAGTGGAGATGCGTTGTACATCTTTTTTTTACAGTCTATGGGTGTGAACTCTAATGATTTGAGGATTATTACATGGTGGTTTCACTGTTGCGATGTTTGAGAGAGTCGTTCTCCTGACAGATCAGCTGGTACGGCTTTTCATTCTCCTCAATCACAGAGTTACTGATTTCCACATCCTGGTTCTGGAGTTCTTGTCGTGACAGGTGCTCAACGATTCCAGCGCCAAATGAGTCTCCCAGCACATTGGTGGTGGTCCTGAGTCGATCCCTGAACAACCACACAAAAACATTCACATTAAAGCCATTTTCTGCAGATGTGAGTGCTGCATGGCCATGAAAAACACATAAGCGCAATGCTGGAGTGTTGCAGCTGGTTGCCATGGTGTTGCTAGGGTGTTATAAGTCATTGTCAGGGAGTTGTGGGTGGTTACCAATATGTTGTTAAGGTGGTACTATGCAGGTGCTAGGGTGTTTAGAGTGGTTTTTAGCATGTTTCTAGGGTGCTGTGGGTGGTTGCCAATGTGTTTTTTAGGTGGTTGCTAAGGTGGTACCATGCAGGAGCCAAGGTGTGCGTGTTGCTTACGCAGTTTCTAGGATGTTGTGGGTTGTTGCTATGCATGTGAAAAGTATGTTCTGATTGGTTTCTAGGGTGTTGTGTTCAAACTGTTGCTAGGGTGTTGCTATGTTGTTCGGAGTGTTTTTCAGCATGTTGTTATGTAGTTACTAGGATGTAGTGGACAATCGTCAAGGCATTGCTAGAAGGTTGCTAGGATATTCAAGATGATTGCTAGGTGGTCACTTACTGCTTAAGTGTTATGTACAGTTACTTACTGCTAAGCTGTTATGAGTGGTTGTCAAGGTGTTGTGGGTGGATGCCATTGTGTTGCTAGACAGTTGATAGGGTATTAGTTTGCAGGTGCTAAGCTGTTCAGAGTGTTTTGTTTGTTTGTTTGTTTTTTGCTATGCAGTTACTGGAGTAGTTGCCAAGGTGATGATATGCAGTTGCTGGTGTGTGGTGGGTGGTTGCCAAGGTGTTGGAAGGTGGTTGCTAGAGCATTGCTTTGCAAGTGCTAAGGTGTTCTGAGTGTTTTTAGCATGCTACTATGTAGCTTCTAGGTGTTGTGGGTGGTTGCCAAGGTGTTGCTAGATGGTTGCTAGGGTGTTGCTATGCAAGTACTATGGTGTTCTGAGTGGTTTTCAACATTATGTTATGCAGTTGCTAGGATGTTGTGGGTAGTTGCCAAGGTGGTCACTAGGTGGTTTCTAGGGTGGTTGCCAAGGTGTTGCTATGCAGTTGCTGGTGTTTTGTAGGTGATTAGGATTTCCCAAGGTGGCTCCTAGGGTGATTAAGATTGTTCCAAAAAATATCTCGGGTCCCTCCATCAATGTAACATGGCATGTTTGGACCTGTTTTTGTCAACTGTTAATCATCTTACTGCTTAGAAAAGTAACAACACACCTTTCCTCAACAAACCACATGATTTGAGGCATCATTCATGTCTGATGCACAGGAGCAGGACTGGTTATGTGAGCAAATTTAACACTTAGTATTTAGAGTTTGATTAAATAAGCATCAAATAACAGTAATGCTTACATTAGAAACATCATTAACTCTTTCCCCGCCAGTGTTTTTTTTTAAAGTTGCCAGCCACCGCCAGCATTTTTGATCATTTTCACAAAACTTTCATGGACCCGAGAATATTTTGTTGTATGAATATCTGAACATGGAATATGTCAAATACTTTATTCCAGCTTCATGCATAACTTTTTTATGAACACTTGAATGTGGGTAAGTTTCATGAAAAAAGCAACATTTTGAACAAAAAGCTGAGAAAATTGCGTTTTTGTCAAAGACTACACCTGCAATAGCGCCCCCTACCGTATAAAAGTGAAAACACAAAAAGCTGGAAAATTACGTCAATATCAGGGCAAAGAGTTCATAATCTGTTAAATAAATCAACTTTCTGTTTATAGCATTGAATAAGTCACTGAAGAAAAAATTCAATGTATTCAATTCAGTGTTCAATATTATGGAAGCTCAATATGAAAGCCGAATGTGTCAACATTGCCAACACTGCTTCAGATTAGCAGTCTGCATTATGTATCGATAACCTTTGAGAGAGTGCTGTCTACTGGAGCCGCATGCTTCAGCGTGACATTTGAGAGAGACTCACAGGAACCAGTCCACCGCGATGATCAGTGTAATGTCCTCTGTGGGCAGTCCCACCGATGTCAATACTATCACCATGGTAACCAGCCCAGCCTGAGGGATGCCTGCTGCTCCGATGCTAGCGGCAGTCGCTGTAATGCTGCAGGAAACATGAGGGCTTTTTAATTTGGAGATTGATGGAAAATAGCCCACTGGAGATATTGTTTGTAATAAGGAGAATGGTGAAGTAAAAACTGATTACCTTCAGTACTTGTGCTTGCCAAAACTAACCTGATGGTGAGGATCTGCCCAAAGTTCAGGTCCATGTCATTGACCTGGGCAATAAAAATGGCCGCCACTGCCTCGTACAGAGCAGTGCCATCCATATTGATTGTGGCTCCAACTGGCAGCACAAAACGTGTCACTCGTTTGTCCACATGGTTGTTTTCTTCAAGACAACGGAAAGTGATGGGCAGGGTGGCAGAGCTGAGGAAGATAAGAAGATAATAATAGCGTAGTATTGTGTGCAGTTAAAACTAAAAATATCGATTGAAATCTATTTAGGAGAATTGAATCACTGAGGTGTAAATGAGATAAATTGAGGATTTATGTCTAACTTTTATACTTACCTGTGTAGAGCATACAGTGTGACAGAGTTTTAGTCAGGACAACTAGGTGTAAATAAATAAATAAATGCTTGATCATATGCCAAAGATTTTTGCATTTTTAGCTTTGAGGTCATTTCTATGCAAGTGCAGTGTTATTTTAGCATCATTGAGATACTATTATAGTTTCTGTTAACATTTTGAATCAGATTTTATTGCTATATAATAAAATTTTAGTTCATTTCATATGTTAATTTTAGCTGAAGTTTTAGTGTTTTTGTCATTTTTATTAGTTTTTGTTGATTTTAAATGTCTATATCATTTTTATTCATTTTTATTTCAGTTTAATTGTAGTTATTTTAGCCTACATCAAGTTAAACTAAACGAAAAATGTTGCCTTGTAAACTAGCTGAAACAAAATAAGCTAAGCTTAAGGTTTTTTCCATTTATTTCAGTTAACATTTATTTTATTTCAAGTAACAAAACCTTTATGGTACCAAAAATATCCTATTATTGATATAATATCATATTAAATGAGCATTACACTGTATATATAATCAAATTATAATGAAAAATATTAAAATATATAGTTTATCTTGCAAATATTTGTTCAATGAAATGCTTTCTAGAATCTCTAGAAATGATCAATTCTACCCATGTCTGACCAACAGTAGTTATAGCATATATTTTATTCACACATATACTTTATCTCCTTGTCCAATCAATAACTGGTTGTGAAGGACACAGAATTTATTCATTTAGAAAATGTCTTGCTTTTGTCCATGTCAGGTGTAGTTCTGCTTGGCTTTAATGTTAATTAAAAGATATGAAAAAGAGCCCTTTCGTATGTGCTGTACTATTTCCTGTTTCAATAGGAAATATGTATCCACACTATATTCATAAAACCATTCCATGGGGTAGAAACACCATCTGCTACTGGACCAACAGATCTTCTTCTCAATTAACTGTGACAACAACAACAACAACAACAAACGATTTACTCTGTTTTGTTGCTGTGGGATGTGTAAAAAGAGCCCTACATGGAGTTCTATAAAGTGTTTACCTGGATGAGGTGCCTAGAGCTGTGATCAGAGCCTGCAGCAGCCCAGCGATGAAGGTGAAAGGGTTCTTCTTGGTCACCACAAAGAAGAGCAGAGGCAGAACGAACAGGCCGTGGATGAGCAGCCCGACAATGACAGAAACCGTGTACATCCCTAACTGTCCGCCCACCTGAGCAAGATCCTTCATCTCAACGATCTTCCCTGCAATCAGGAAGAGGATTCCCACCGGAGCATACCTGCTCAGCAGAGCAGAGACGTGACACACATTTCACACCAATACTTTAATGAAGTGTACATTTTAATAAATAATTTAACAAATAATAGTTTAATAAATAACTTTTGCACACACGCATGCATAAATAGAGCCCTTTTTAAATTAACTTTTAAATGTATCACATGATATTTGTAATTATATGTGATATGTGTAATTTTGTATCAAAAAAAGTCCTAATAATGAGAAACTCTCATAATAATCAGAAACTTTCTCATGACTATGAATTAATATGCCATAATATTTAGAAAAATATCATTAAAATATAAACTGTACTTATATAATTATAACTATAAAATATAATTATGACTTAGCATCTTATTATATTGAGAACAGTTGTCAAAATAATAGTATATCATAACAATGAGAACCTTTCTCATAAAAATGACACTTAATTATTATAAATGTAATTTGTCATAATATTTAGGACCAAATCACATAATGACTTAGATTTTCCTTATAATGAGAAACCTTCATAATAACGACTTTGAGTATAAACTGTACAAACTTTCTCATAATTATCAGTTAAGATGTCACAATATTTAGAACAAAACAAGTGTGACTTATAATGCGAGACATAATAATGACTTAACATATATTAGCATTACTAAGATAAAGTTTCTTATTATGAGATGTTAAGTCATTATTATGAGTAATGTTTTCATTACATGATACTAAGTCAACAGTTATGAGATATTTTTTTAAATATCACGACATATTAATTTGTTATTATGAAAAATGTTCTCATTAATATGATATACTAGTCAATTATTATAAGATAGTTTCTCATTATTATGCTTTCGATACAAATACAAGTGTACAAGAAAAAAAAACAGAGAAAAAAAAATTGTTCATAAAGTTCTTAAAAAAATGTATTCATGTTTCAGGTTTCATTTACTTTTAAACTTTTATATTATTACGTTTTTTTTTTTCAAGAGTTTTATGTGACTTTTTAGCATTCTAATCATTTTGGAATATTATATAATGTCTAATATAACTGTCACAGTCTTGTCGTTGTCTTAGTCTTCCCTGTTTGACCTAGTTTTCCCTCATGTGCCTGATTATTTATTATTAATTATTAATTGTTAGTTATCTCGTTAGTCCTCTGTCTTATTTAAACCCTGTGTTTGCTCCCAGTGTTTGTCAGGTCTTGTCTATGTCTAATGTGGATAACGTGGATTGTACCCTGATCATTATCTTATTAAATATTATTGAACTCTTCTTCTTCTTCGTCTTTATTGGATTGATACACGCACCACGCGGGACAACAACAATAATATATATATGTATATATAATATGAAGAGGGGTATTCAAGCCATTGTATGTATGAATTGCTTTTTTAATGTATTTTTTTAATAAATTAACAAACAGGACATAAAACAAGTGCCACATCATTCTCTCTTAAATAACTGCTTTACTGTTGTCAAAGATTCAGCAGGAAAGTTATCAGAGCATCATAATCCCACACTTACCAGATAATGATGGCCACCAAGCGCATTATGGCTTCATTCAGGCAGTCAAAGAAGTCCCGGAGAGCCTGGCCCTGCTGTTTCATGTTTCCGATCACTAATCCAAAGCACATAGAGAAGACCACCAACCCCAAGGCGTTCACCCCATTCGAGGAACCTGACACAGGCACCACCTCTTCCACCGTCTCCTGGATGGTCTGCAGGATTGTGCTGAGGTTGGACACTTGGATGAGATCTGTAGAGTTGAAGTTGTCTGTCGCATTGACCATGATGGTGACATTTTTGGTCAACACGGTTTTCTTGTATAGTGTTTTGTACTGCAAGAAAAATGGGTGATTAGTACACTCTAAAAAATGCTGGGTTAAATACAACCCAGTGCTGGGTAAAATAGGGACAAACCCAGCAATTGGGCTGTTTTGACCCAGCGGTTGGGTTACTACCCAGGAGGTTGGGTTAAACATTTAACCCAAGCGCTGGGTCAAAACAACCCAATTGCTGGGTTTGTCCCTATTTTACCCAGCATTTTTTAGAGTGTATGCTCTTTTAATTTTTTCACATAAATAATATAAAATTGCATAAATTATTCTTGAACTGTATTTAAAGGGAGAAGGTTCCATTAAAAACACTTTTTAACATTAGATGATCAATTTTGATGTTAAATCCACTATTGCTTTATTTAGAATTGTTCTATTGGTCTAGACAGTATTTAATTCAATTACATCAGAAGTAACTGTAATTCAATTACAGAAATTTTAAGAATAATCCTTTACTTAACTTTTTCAAGGGTTAATTACTTTAGTTTCTTAGTAATGCATTACACCCCCAACACTGATCGCGATATCGATTTTATTTCGATATATCATGCAGGCTTAATAGCAAATAAGAAGTGGCACATTATTTTCAGAGATGCATTAGGAGAGGATTCACAAACCTGTTTGAAGCAGGCCTCAACTAAATTTGGTGGAAACATATTTCTGTAAGATCAATGAGAAAAATCAGATCCCATAGCATCTAAAAAATAAACAAGCATCGCATCAGTCAAACAAAACTTTCTCCCCACCTTATCAGGTCCAGAAAAGCGTCAGCGGCCTGCACTGGCTCAATGCTGCCACTAGAGGCCACTGGACTATCCCTGCTGCCTTTACCCGGCCTGATAATAATCACCATTACAATCCCGATGAAAACTGCTATAAAAGTGGTCACCATGTAGTAGACGATGGCCCGAATTCCCATCTTCCCAGAGGCCTTGCTGTCTAAAGAGGAGATTCCTGAAGACATGCAGCACCAAAAGACAAAAGATCTGTGGTTGAGCATTTCTGAAGTGACAATCATACTATAAAGTGAAAGGGACGTGAAGCGTAGCCAAGTATGGTGTCCCATACTTGGAATTTGTGCTCTGCATTTAACCCATCCAAGTGCACACACACAGCAGTGAGTAGTGAACACACACACCGTGAACACACAGCCAGTGCTGTGGCACCCAGGGAGCAGTTGAGGGTTCGGTGCCTTGCTCAAGGGTCTCACCTCAGTCGTGGTATTGAAGGTGTATTCACTCCCCCCACCTACAATTCCTGCTGCTACTGAAACTCAAACCCGCAACCTTTGGGTTACAAGTCCGACTCTCTAGCCATTAGGCCACGACCGACCCCAAAAAAAGCACCATGGGTTCATTGCTTTATTGATTAAATACTTTTAACTTAGGCGTGTATATCCACTTCACAACATTTCTGTGTAAGATTCGGTCAATGTTAATTTTTACATATACTATTAAATAAATATTTAAATATAGCTATTTTATACACTACCGTTCCAAAGTTAGGGGTCAGTAAGATTTTTTTAAACACTTCTCTTCTGTTCACCAAGGCTGCATTTATTTGATCAAATGTACAATAAAAACAGTAATATTGTGAAATACTATTACAAATTAAAATAACTAATTTTTAAAGTGTGATTTATTCCTGTGATCAAAGCTGAATTTTCAGCATCATTACTCCAGTCTTCAGTGTCACATGATCCTTCAGAAATCATTCTATACGTTGACTTGCCATTTAAAAATCATTTCTTATTATTATAAATGTTAAAAACAGTTAATAATTAATAATTTGTGTAAAGTGTGATACATTTTTAGATTCTTTGATGAATAGAAAGTTCAAACAAACAACATTTATTTGAAACAGAAATATTTTGTAACATTGTAATTAAATGCTTTTACTGTTTTTCTTTTGCACATTTGATCAATTTGATGTGTCCATTCTGAATAAAAGTAATCATATCTTTTTTCTTTTTTTTTATAAAATCTTACTAAACCCAAAGTTTTGAACAGTAACAGAACTGAATAGTACATCTGCACAAAACAAAAGCACATGAAACCGAGATGCTGAATGCATAACAAGCAATAGTTAACGTATTATGAAACATAAATTAATAATAAACAATTAACCCTGCTGTAAAAAAAAAATGCTAAATGGATAGTTCATCCAAAAATGAAAATATCCTCATTTACTCAACCTCACGTTGTCTCAAACCTGTGTGAGTTTCTTATTTTTGTTGAACACAAAACAAGATATTTTGAAGGATGTGGGTAACCGTTGCTGGTAGCCATTGACTTCTATAGTATGGAAAAAATTACTATGGACGTCAATGGCTATCAGCAACTGTTTGATTCTTCAAAATATCTTCTTTTATGTTCAGCAAAAGAAAGAAATTCATACAGATTTGGAGGGTGAGCAAATGATGACAAAAGTTTCATTTTCGTGTGATCTATCACTTTAATTGTTAGTTTATGATACCTAATGCATTACTAATGTAAAGGAATTTAAAGTGTTAGCGAATGCTCTACAGAGAGTAAAGTGATTTCTGGTGTACCTGTGACGAGGCTGGAGACGATGAGTGGTAGAACAAGCATTTGAAGCATCCTCATCAGCAGCTCTCCAGGGAAAGAGAAATACTTCACCTCCCTGATGGACAGGTTACAAGGTCTCAGGGCGAAACCCAACACCACCCCTGTATACAGTCAACAGATGTGAAACTTCAGTTTGAACTGTTTTCAAACTTCATACTTCCCTCCTAAACAGTGTCACTATTATCAAAAAACAAGCCCAACGTTATGTCTTTTTCCTGCTGTTTTGCCCACTGATTTATTGCTTTACCTAAAGCCACAGCAGCCACTGTGAAGATCACAAAGGTGTTCCTCCGCAGGAACGTCTTGACGCTGTCTCGTGTGATGCCGCCCATCTTTCGTCTGCTTCCTGACATCTGCTTCTGTAACACTCGGCACAGACGGTGGAGCCCCTCTTCAGCACGCTGTGGCTTCTCAGAGTCTTCACTCAGAAACAGACTAGTGCTGTTTGGAGGCTTCTCATTCATAATCAGCTCTAATACATGGTCCAAGAGGGTTTCGTGGGAAACTGTGGCCGAGAAATGAGGGAAAAAAAAAATAGTTCACCAAATAGTATCAGCTGATTTAATGAAACCAAGTTCTACTCTACATCATGTGATTAAATGGCAAAATATGAATCGGTCATTGCAGGGTATATGAACCCACAGTGTTTGAGTTACCAAAAGTGAAGATTCTTTGTTTTTGAAAACAAAAGAAGACATTCTCAAGAATGTACGTTGCTCTTTTCCATACAACAAAAGCACAGACAGTATAGCTCTTAAGCACTTTTAAACCTACATCACAAACAGCCACAAGACATGCTGATTATGTCACAAAAAAAAAATGGTATGTAGGTTGACCAGACATCCCAGTTTATGAAAACAAAAATATTAAAGTCAATAAACATTATAATAATTACAATAACAGTAGTCCTACAGTATATAGAACACACAACTCATCTGCTAAAACATGTCTATTATTTAAGCTGTCAAGCTGTTTGAATCATCATTTTTATATTCATTTTAAGGTTTTAGGGCTTATGGTGTTCTGTTGTCATGGCAACAAAGTATCAAAATTGGATATAACCACTGATCTATAATATATAAAAGGTTAGTAAGTGTAGACTTTTTTTCACAGTAAATTAACATACATACTGTTTATGTCTATACTTCAGAAACATTGAGCATTTTAAACCTCATGAATTAGCCGCACTGTAACCCTGATATTTGCTTCTTCTTCTTTTTTAATGCTGTTGGTTGAGCTTAACTTGTACTGAATCCGGTTGTATCGTTTTCTGTGTTTTGTGCTTTTTTGGAAATGTTTTTTGTAAATCAACATTATGACATAAATGCTGTTGTCACTCCTAAAAGAAGTACACTTAACATTTTTTCTATTCTGTACTGCAGTGGTTCCCAACCCTGGTCCTGGAGGCACCCCAAAACTGCACAGTTTGCATGTCTCCTTTCTCTGACGCACCAGTTTCAGGTCTTGGAGTCTCTACTAATGAGCTGATGACCTGAATCAGGTGTGTTTGATTAAGGAGACATGCAAAATGTGCAGTGTTGGGGTGCCTCCAGGACCAGGGTTGGGAACCACTGCGGTACTGCATCCTGTAAAGCTTGTTTTTTACTTAATTTGAGAATACATACTGCTCCTGTAGAGGGGGCATGGATGATCTGGTAATATACAATACCTCTCTTTAAACACCATTTATGGGCCACACGTTTTCACTAATATATTTTTAAGAATATGGGCAACCAAACAGTTGATGGACCCCACTGACTTCCATACTATGGACAAAATTACTATGGAAGTCAATGGGGACCATCGGCTGTTTGGTTGCCCACAGTCTTCAAAATATCTTTTGTGTTCAACAGAACAAAGAAACTCATACAGGTTTGAAACAACTTGAGGGTACATTTTTGGGTGAACTATCCATTGCAATCCACCACCTACTCTTGCAGTTAAGCACCGACTTCAATCCAAACTTGTTTAATAACATGCTGATGCCAAATTGATGAGAGGCTACAGTAATGACATGCTCTAATTGATTATGAAAACTCACTATTATGAAAAATTGCCTCATATTGAGGATGCTTATCCCGAAGACAACAAACAAATATCATGAGACTTCCAGATAAGCTGCACACAGCATCTCCACTGAGACGGTCATTGTATATTCTGTTTCAGATGCACACCAGGATGGAAGTGAAGGTGTGTAAGCTGAGGGCTGTTCTGGAGTCAGCTGTGAGTGTGAAGAACCTGCTGAGAGCGCAGGGTTACCCGCAATAGCTGACTTGAGCACATATGGGTTAGAGGAAAAACAGCAAAAGAATTTACCAGTGAGGGTCTTAGCAGTAGTTCAGCTAATGTAACTGATACCGACAGAGCAGATTTTTTTTTGGATAAGGCAGTCAAATCTATATACAGCTTATGTCTTTTTGGTATGGAAGCACATTTCCCCAGTATATTTTTTGTTGTTTTTCAACAAAGACAATAAAGACCAATCAATATAGTAAAAAAAAAAAAATAGACAGCTCATTTTGACTTTATATCTAACAATGAGGCTGTACATCTTGGAACTATGACCTTGAAATTGTTACTTTATATATCACAAGAATATATCTCCGTCATGACTTTTTCACATAAATTCAAACTGATTATATCTCACAATGCAACTTTATAAATTGCATTGTTATTTTATATCTCACAATTATGACTTTTTCCACATAATTTCAACTTCACATTTCACAATGTGAGTTTATATAATGCAATTACGTCTTTGAAATCGCGACTTTATATCTTGCAATTAATTTTTTCAGCATAATTTCAACTTTATATCTTACAAGGTGACTGATCTTGCAATTGCAACTTTTCTGCAAAATTTTAACATCATATCTCACAATGTGAATTTACCTTTAGCAATTTTGCAAAAATACAACTGTGAAATTGCGTCTTATATGACTTTATATAATTACATAATTTCAACTTTATATCTCACAATATGACTTTTTATCTTGCAATTATGACTTTTTCACATATTTTCAACTTTATATTGCACAAAGTGGCTTTACATTTTGCAATTATGACTTTGTTATTGCGACTTTATATCTTGTAATGTGACTTGATATCTTGATATGCAATAGTTTTTCGGCATAATTTCAACTTTATCTATCACAATGTGATTGTGTATTACATTATTATTCCTAAAAAACCCTTTTTTTGTAATTGTGACTTTATTTCTCATATTAGTTACTATTTTAAACTCTGTCTCACGATTATTTTTACATTTTTTACTCTGAGGCAGAAACAGGCGTGCATCTTTCAAACATGGTGTTACAAATGGGAAAACTTTTAAAGCAATCAGGAATCCAGCAAGGATATGCAAAACTCCTCATAACAGAAAATAGTTCACCCAAAAATTTAAATTCCATCTTTGCATTCCATCACCTTTATGTCACTCCAAACCATATAGTATTTTTTTTTCATAATGTCCAGGTTTCTTGTTTCAATGGAAGTGAATGAATATTGTGGCCATCAAGCAAAAAAATTATTAAATATTATTAGTCATATACAATGATCTGCTGTATATGACTTACTTGTGAAGAAGCCATGCATGTAATTCTGCAAAACATCTCTGTTTTTGTTCCAAGGTATAAAATAAATCATATGACAGAATTTTCATTTTTGCATTATTGCTTTAAAACTCAGACCCCTGCAGTTCTAGGAAAATACCATGAATTTGTGGACTGGCTGACAAAATAATCAACCATCATACAGACCACCGATACCAATCACTGCTTATCTAATGTCAGAAGACATTCAAATATAATACACTCCATAATGCACCATAAAGAAAAACATTAATTCAATTTAAGTACCTAAACTATTTATCACCCAGCAGCTCCACCTCAGATTTTCCTTACTAATCTATAGTATAAAACCTTGATATGGGTTCACTCACCACTCATGGTTGCTCTGCAGTGGGTTAGTGCTGGAGATACTGGACTGAAGCGGTCACAGATAAAGCTCAACTCAGGCCAAACACACATGAAACAGGTTTTTATACAGCATGACCTTCTCTCACCCTCCAAGTGACCCCATACTGAGCGACAGCAGAGGTACACAGCATTCCTTTTGACCTGATCTAGGGCCAGTTTTCCCTCCATTGATCCCTGCTTGATGGTCTGATCACTGATCTTAAATCAGCATAAATACACACATCAACAAACACCCCAGGTGAGCACTACAAAGCACCACTTGCCAATAGTGAACCAAAAGATCCACACTTGAACCAGAACATCACACACTCAAGAGAAAAAAAGAGGGTGGATAATGTAGCCTATTTATGAACTGAACAGGTTGTTTTCTGACTACAGGGTTTTTTAGATACAGAATTAATGTTTGGATGTAGGCTACATTTTGGCGAGACAAACAAACTAAAAGAAAGAACGAAAGGAAGAAATCATATTATTGACAAGTTGATGACTCATCCAAAGAGCTAGCTCAGTTGAATATTAGAAAATAATTTAATACAATTTGCATTTTAAAACATACGACTTACCTTAGTGGCAGCTCTTCTTGTATCTCTTTTCTTCCCTCGTCCGCGTTTCTAGTAACGTCGCACGCAGCAGATGCGCTTTATTCTGCGCTCACGGCGGAGGAAGTGATTTTTGCGTGGGAAGAGAAGGTTAAGGATTTTTTTTCCTGTGAGAGAAAACAACGACCTACTGCCCGACTGCGCAAAGAATCAACACGTTAAAAAAGTATCATTGGGGGAGGCGTTTAATACTGAGTGTACAGCGTTCTAGCCTAGTATGCTGCTGTAACACCCGCTGAGCGGTTTCATCTAATGACTGATCAATGCCGGGGACACATTGTCATTTAAAGTTATTGTATGTGAAATATGATCTTCATTAAATGATAAATATGTATATAAAGTGAAAATGCTTTTTAGCACTGTAGTACTCGAAGGCAAGAGACAAATATTCAGTGTATCTCATTACCATGACAATGTGATTGCTCTTACTTGTTACTTGTGTGTGTGTGTGTGTGTGTGTGTGTGTGTGTGTGTGCATGTGTGAGTGCGTGAGTGAGTGAGTGCATGTGTGCGTGTGTGTGTGTGTGTGCATGTGTGAGTGCGTGTGTGAGTGAGTGCGCGTGTGTGTATGTGTGAGTGCATGTGTGTGTGTGTGCGTGCGTGCGTGCATTTGTGCGTGC